CTATACAGAGGAAAATGTGTTAAGAAAAATGTTACGGTTTCTCACTAATGGGATATGTGAGTAGATATGACTTTGAACTGATGAGTGTATATAATGTCTGTATATAATGACTGTATGTAATGTATATAATGTATAAGATGACATGTATTTATATTCAGTATTCTGGAGTAACTTGATCGATACAACAATAAAACTTAATGAATCGATCCTGCTGGGGATTGAACTGTTCAAACTTTAATTTACCAGCCCAGGTGTTTATGAACTACTCTAGAGCATCTCGCTGATGTCTGTGGATCCTAGTAAAAGTTATCAGATTGAGGTGAAGCATCACTACTCCCGGTCTGTGACTAAACTGGTGTTAATTCTAGTGTGATATTTAGTTAAAAAGTATGTTCTGGAAAGGATTGGTCTTGAAAGGATTATACTGGCTGTAGGCTGTAGCTTATACACTGTAGACCAGGGGTCCCAAAACTCAGTCCTGGAGGGCCGGTGTCCTGCAGAGTTAATTAACTTGCCTCAACACCCCTGCCTGGACGTTTCAAGTATACCTAGTCACAGGGCCGTCGCAAGGGGGGTGCGAGGCCCTGTGCGAAGTTGACGTGCGAGGCCCTTTGCAGTTTGTGTGTGTGTGGTGGGGGGGTTGCTATAGTATCGAACGCAACTTTAACACGCATCAGATCGATTGTGATGCCGTGCTCACTGACATGTTTGCGCACGAATCACGGTCACGCACACGCTCCTAAGAATTGTAAGTATGCGTACAATGAGCACTCAGACTGATCTGAGATTTGCCCCGCAAACATTTTCGCAGTTATTATAGGCCTGTGTGTCCCGTATCTCTGTCGACTGAAGCAGCCATGCCATTAATTGTGATGCCGTGCTCACTGACATGTTTGCGCACGAATCACGGTCACGCACACGCTCCTAAGAATTGTAAGTATGCGTACAATGAGCACTCAGACTGATCTGAGATTTGCCCCGCAAACATTTTCGCAGTTATTATAGGCCTGTGTGTCCCGTATCTCTGTCGACTGAAGCAGCCATGCCATTAATTATGAATTTATCAGTCTTTTGCATGCCAAAGTCAATTTCTGCATAGAAATATTACGCCAAATAGAAGCATAAAATCGTGCTATACGCACTTTCATGAGATCGGGTTAGCCTACAACAATTAATTTGTTGGCTATTTTACAAATGGGAATACAACGAATTCATGACAATGTTTTACATTCAAGCTACCCGTAAAATTTATAGTGAAAAGTAGGCTACTTTAAAAGCGTCTGGAATGTAATAAAGTAATTGCATTGCAGAAAATCCTTTAAATTTTAAGGTATTCAGAACAGAGCAACATAAAAATCAGAAAATATAAGCATCTATTATAGGACAAGTTTTACATATATGCCATAATAATTTGTGTTTTATTTTTTAATTGTACGGAATTAAACGCAAATAATAATCGGGCCTGTTTTAGGCTTTTCCTTACTTTTATATTTTAGACATCCATCCATTATGGTAATTAAAAAAAATTACTCGCCATCTCCTCATTGGATGTGCCTTTAGAGAGAAATGCACGGATTACATAATGAAAGAGTTTCTATTTTCGATGTAAATTATTTCGTTTTAAAGTAGCCTAGTAATTCAAAGCTTTCTATAGATATTAGGGATGCACCGATATGAAAATTTTGGCCGATACCGATAACCGATTATTCTTTATTTTTGAAAGCCCCGGTAAACTGAAGTGCTCTTTTAACTTAACCAAACGCATTCTATATGAGATAAATCAGATATACATCAAATAAACACAATATTACAATGTACAATTGCACAAAAGGCTGCAAACGAACAGCGCGCATCTGAAGTGTCTCTGAAGAAAATAATGCATTATTTATCGGCTTTAAGATATCGGCCAAATTTTCTTATCAGGCCGATACCGATAACAGAAAAAATGAGCCGATATGGGCCGATACCGATATGGTGGCCGATATATCGTGCATCCCTAATAGATATATATTTTGATCATGTCTGTGGGGTAATTCGTTGAGCTTAGGTTCATCATTGTGAAGTGCTCCTGTTCAAGCCCGAGACGGCAGAAAGCGTTTGTTTTCTTTATTTTATAAAAGCACACCGTTTTGTTGATATTGTGTGTGCACACAAATAAAACTAGACCCTTTACAGTTTACAATGATGTATTACTCTTACCTTTATGAGCAAAAATGACTGCGTATTTTAAGTTGTTTCCACTGTTAGAAAAAAATGCAAGCGATCGCGCTGGCGCCTCCATGTCCTGCAAAGTGCGCTTTAGCTTCCACTCTCCGCACAAACGATTGGATATGCGTCTAACAGCGCACATTTATCTAGGTTAAACATTTAAACTAACATTGCGATATGCTTGAACTGTTTTATACAGTATACAGATTTTATTTTAGGCAAGTCGTGATGATTTGCGAAGGCTAAATTGATCAAACATATAGGCCATGATCAATTCACTGTCTGTCGCTGGTCGTTACTTAAAAAAAAAAAAAAAAAAAAAAAAACCCAAAAATGGCTCCAAACGGTTTTCTAATTTAACGTTATAAAAAAATTAAAACAAAATATAATCGCTTTTCCATTACATACAAAACTGAACTAGCCTATTTTAATAGCTGAAATAGTAGTATAAGCTTTTTTTGCGGGGGGAAAGGGGAAAAGAGACAGGCTAGGGCCTATATTTGAGGGCCGTGCAAGGCTCTAATCCACTTCATCCAATGCTGTTTTGTTCTCATCTGTGAGCATGCTCTTGATTAATGTATTTTACCATTTTGTTGAGTTTAAAACGTGTGACATTCGTTCTTCTCTCACTGATCATTTGCCCCCCCCCCCATTAAAAAAAAAAAAAAAAACACAAAAATGGCTCCAAACGGTTTTCTAAATTAACGTTATAAAAAAATTAAAACAAAATATAATCACTTTTCCATTACATACAAAACTGAACTAGCCTATTTTAATAGCTGAAATAGTAGTATAAGCTTTTTTTGCGGGGGGAAAGGGGAAAAGAGACAGGCTAGGGCCTATATTTGAGGGCCGTGCAAGGCTCTAATCCACTTCATCCAATGCTGTTTTGTTCTCATCTGTGAGCATGCTCTTGATTAATGTATTTTACCATTTTGTTGAGTTTAAAACGTGTGACATTCGTTCTTCTCTCACTGATCATTTGCCCCCCCCCCCATTAATTTATGTACTGCATAACAATAATAAAGCAATTAAATAAGTAAATAAGAATGCTAAAATAAGTTCTAGGTTTGTAGTTATTTATGAACATTATTGACATTCGCTCCTCTCCACCTGTAGCTGGTGTGTGGTGAGCGCACTGCGCCATTGTACTGTGGCTGCCGTCGCATCATCCAAGTGGATGCTGCACACTGGTGGTGGATGAGGAGAGACCCCTCCACCCCCCACCCCCCACATGACTGTAAAGCGCTTTGGGTGTACAACAATAGACAATAAAGCGCTATATAAATGCATCATTCATTCATGAAGAGTTCAGATGGAAAAGTCTCTAAGTGCCATCTAACATTTTCTTCTAAAATGATTATTTTCTCAGGCTCCTATGTTTATGGTCAGTTATTTTACTTTAATGGGAAAGAAAATAAATTATTAATTGCCATTAAAGTGAAATTACTGCACCTACACATAGGAGCCTGATAAAAACGCTAATTTTAGAAGAAAATTTCAAATGGCACTTAGAGGCTTTTGCATCTGAACTCTTCATATGAAATAGAAATCAATTTACACTATTTGAAAATAATATTTTAAAATGTGCACATTAACACTTATTCGTATGTCTTTTTTCGACTGAAAACGCAAACGTCTCTCGTCACGTTCATTTATGATTTACATGAATCATGATCGCATATTTTCAATTCAAAACGGCAAAATTTCATTGAACGCTGAGTAGTTTGCATCACTAGATAGTCTATTACTGTCGGACGCTGAACATTTCTATCATAAAACAGTTTTCTAATACAGTACTAGCTACTTACATCTTTCCACAAACTCTCGTTGCGTTGTGACAGTAAGACCCGCTTCTTTGACTTGATTGGCCATCTCGATCATTTTGACATTGACGAGCGCTGTTGGACCACTGAGGCAGACCAGCCTAAAAGTTTAACTTTTAAAACTTTTAGTCATCCTAACAACAAACAGCTTTACTCATTCGTATACAGTCTTATACGGTCTATCAGCAATGACTATTTTAGTCTTTCAAAGGACAAAATGGGTGGGAAAACAGTAATAAAAATTAGACATAAAATGCAGGCCAGGAGCGAGGTCCTCTAGAGGTGCGAGGCCCTGTGCGGTCGCACACTTGGCACAGCCCTTGCGATGGTACTGCCTAGTAAGAGCTTGATTAGCTTGTTCAGGTGTTTGATTAGAGTTGGAGCTAAACTCTGTAGGGCACCGGCCCTCCAGGACCGAGTTTGTTGACCCCTGCTTTAGACAAAGATACTCTGGTTAATTGCTAAAAAAAAATGAAATACTACAGCAGAGTACAGAAAAGTATGGCAAAACTTAGGATAGGACAGCATAGTACAACATAGGATAGGTCAAACCCATTTCTAACAGGGCAATCGAGACATAACTTTAAGATAACTCTTGACACTATTGAGCATCCACATACACGGATCAGTTCAGCATCATATATAACAGCACAGCTTGTTACTGTAGGCCATATTTTGCTCTTTGTGCATATCTGAAAAGTCTTCATTGCTCATACACTCAGATCAGATCAGATAGCAGGTCAACACAGTTCATCCTTACACATATTCAATGGCACCCAAACTAGACTAATAATAAAAAGACGATACAGGGCCACAGGTCAAAGTGATCAGAGATCAGGAGGACGGTAATAGATCGGCAGTGTTCAGACTCATCATCAGGCTCCCTTGAGTCTAGTATAATTGTGTTAACCTGCGTTATAATGATCGGTGATCGGGAGTAGCTAGAGTAATGGATCAGTAACTCACCATCAGGCTGCAGTGACTCCAGCATATGATCGCAGTTATAATCCACACCAGAGCCCTGCTGCACACTCCCCACGCCATCATACACACATATAAGCACGCGGACTTGTGAATACACGGCAGATATGTTTGTTTACGGAGTCATTGTACTGTGGTACTACTGAACAGACGGACTCGATGCGTTCATCAGCGCGCTTCCGCTACTGCGCATGCGCACAACACTCTGGAGGCGGGGGTATGAAGCGACGTCACCTTCTTTTGGAACGGAAATGGGAAGTAATTTATTATTTGTGTTGGAGTAATTTAATATTTATTTAGGTTATCATTTATGGATACAACCTTAATACTGAAAATGATAAGCTTTTTGAATCTTTAGAGGAAAGGATTCTACTCTGGTTTTATAAGCACCCACAGGCATTTTTACTGATTGGAGGGGATTTTAATATTACTTTAAATGACATGGTTGATAGATGGCCTCCAAAGCAGCCAGGTTCATCCAATACTATTTTAAAGACTTTTGTGCAGAAATATAATTTGATTGATATATGGAGGGAAATTTATCCTAATCAGTGCTCTTATACATGGAGTAACAAAAATGGTACAAGGCAGTCCCACATAGATTTCTTTCTGGTTTCGTGGAGCATTTTAAAAGAGAATATGTCAGTAAACATTCTGGTTACTCCCTTAACAGATCACAAGGCAATTTATATAAATATTAGATCTTCCTCTTTTGTAGCGTCATGTCATACTTCTTTTGGAAAATGTTTCTCATGAGGCAGTCAAATTGGAACTTATAAAATTAATATCCTTTTACTGGGATTTGGCACAAAAGGAAGGTACTTTTAGCAGGTATTGGGAACTTCTAAAATATGAAGTTGGTAAATATTTAAGGTCTTATGGTAGTTTTCTTTCTAAACTTAATAGAATTTTGGAGGAGCAACTTGTATCTGAAATTACCTCTCTTTCCATGGTTTCTCCCGATAGACTTTCGCCTGAGGAAAAAATACAATTAAGTGATTTACAGTATAAATTGGATGCAGAAGGTGCATTTGTCAGGTCTAGAGTTAAAGGGGTCATATGATACTGCTAAAAAGAACATTATTTTGTCTATTTGGTGTAATGAAATGTGTTTATGCAGTTTAAAGTAAAAAAAACACATTATTTTCCACATACTGTACATTATTGTTTCTCCTCTATGCCCCGCCTTTTTGAAACGCGTCGATTTTTACAAAGCTCATCGGTCTGAAAAAGCTAGGTGTGCTCTGATTGGCCAGCTATCCAATGCGTTGTGATTGGCCGAAAACCTCAAGCGTGAGACGGAAATGTTACGTTCCTTACCATACTGTGATGCCGTGTCCGGAGCGATGAGTCAAAAACATTAAAACCCATTACAAACGAGGCATTTGTTGCATCCAGTGGGGACATAATTACTGATTATAATGACTTATACTGTCTTTTTACGCATTGCATTGCATTACATCATGCCGCGTAAACATAAAACTCTGTCTGATTTGTGATCAGAGAAATGACAAACAACAAGTGCTACTCTACACTGCCCAGCTCCACCCTGGCCCCCCAGATCCTCTGCATCCCCCTGGCTCATTGGCTCTCCATCTCTGCCTCGGGCTCCTCCGCCACCTGTTCTGCCGCCATTGGTCAGACCCCTGGAGTCGGAGGCCATTCCTCCACCATGGCTCCTCCCCTCCGTTGGCTCCATAGTGGGTTGCCATCATGGCTGCTCCAAGTTCTTGCTGTTTCCTCCCTGGCTCCTCCCTCCATCGTCACCTCCCTGGTCTCTGTCTGCCGGCCCCCTCCCGGGTGTCCATCCTCCTCCTGAACCGCCTCCCAAGTTCCCACCCGTGCCCCCCCTCTGTTGTTCTACGGCGTGAGGACGCACCTTCCTGGAGGGGGGTGATATGTCAGGATCATGGACCTGTTTTATGTTTTGCCCCTGTTTCTGTTCCCGTGTTCCCTTATTTGGTCATGTTCCTGTCCTTGTTTAGTTAATTAGTCATTCTGTGCACCTGTGTTTGGTAACTGTCCTGTGTTTATAAGTTCTTGTCTGTGCATTTCTCCTCTGCTGGGTCTACTTGTTGTGAACAACTGTAGTACACAACTGAAGTAACTGTATCTCCCTATTGGATCATTAAAAGACTCTCGTTCTGTGAAGTCTCCTCGCTTCCTCATGCCCGTGCTCCAGCGTATTGTGACACTTATATTATCTATAAAAAAATTAATTCTATAACAGATGAGACACAGTCTGGTTTTCTCAACAATATACATATATCAAATAATATACGTTAGTTTTTGAATGTCTTAGATTACTCCAATTTGATTAGTGATGATAGCTTTCTTCTCTGTCTGGATCTGGAAAGCGGTTAACACTTTGGAATATAATTTTATTTTTCAGTGTCTCAAAGTTTGGATTTGGAAAAAATTTTTGTAGTGCCATTAAAACTTTATACATGAAAGGTAGTAGTTCAGTTATTTTAAAACATGTAACAATTCGTCGTTTTGAATTATTGAGGGGCATTTGGCAGGGCTGCCCTATTTCCCCTTACCTTTTTCTTCTTGCAGCTCAGATTCTTTGTTCTCATATAAAAGCCAGCAGTTTAAAAGGGGTAACTATTGCTGAAAGAGAGGTGATTATCAGTCAGCTTGCTGAAGACACAACCCTTTTTCTTAAAGATGAAAGGCAGATTTCACTTGCAATAAATATTGATTCATTTTCTAAAGCCTCAGGTTTATGCTGAAATATTCAAAAGTGTGATATTTTTTGCCATTAAAGACTAATGAATCCTCTGTCCATAATATCCCAGTGAAAGAAAACATTTGTTATCTAGGTGTGTTAATTACTAAGGATCAGGAAGAAAGATGTAATCTTAATTACCAACCCCTTATTGTTAAAACACAGAAAAGATTTAACCAGTGGCTACAAAGGGATCTCTTTGAGACGTAGGGTACTTCTCACAAAAGCAGAATGTGTCAGGGTTCTGCCACTTCGGTCTAGTTCAGGGGTAGGCACGTTCGGCCCTAGAGAGCCGCAGTGCAGAGTTCAGCTCCAACCCTAATCAGACACACCTGAATAAGCTAATCAAGGCTATATAGGCAGGGGAGGGTTTTTTTTCAGGGTTGGAGCTGAACTCTGCAGGACTGCGTCTCTCTAGGACCGAACTTGCCAACTCCTGGTCTAGTTTATTCATAGTTTTGTGACAGAGCCCGGACACTCCCATCATGTCGTGTTTTCATGTGAGCGCACGGATCTCTCTTGTCTCTTGTTGGAGCGTGGTGTTCGGATCCCGGCACTCATGTCTTGTTCAGACTTCTTCGGACAGTTCAGACTGTTCTTGTTCAGACTTGGTTCGGACACTCGCGCTCCATGTTCTGTATTGTTGTGGGAGCGTGCGGTCTCGAGTTCGCTCGGGCCGTACGCTCTTCTGTCCTCGTGTCTTGTGTTGTTGCACGCAGCTTGTGTTTTCGGCTGCGTGCTTTCATGTTATGTCTTGTGCTGTGTATCACGCAGCTTGTGTTTTTCATTGGCTGGGTGCGTTCATGTTGTCATCCCTTGTGGAAAAAAAGTACACTTTATTGTATTTGTAATATATTACCTGTTTTAATAGTACATTGCAAATATACTAACAAAAAAATTACTATCTTTAAATATATAAAAAAAAGTATGTTAGCATCATGCCTTTGTCTATTTTCACAATCTTTTAACACACTTTAAAACAATTGTAATTTAGTATATTTTCTAAAAATATATTTTACAAAAATATGCTTTAATTAAAAGTTCTGTTTATTTTTTATAAGTATATTTATTTGCACTTTACTTAAATATATTTTTTAACTGTGTGCTGAAAATGATCATTGTAACAATGCATTGAAAGCATACTTTCAAAGTACATTATTAAATAATCCGAAGTTGTAGTATATTTTAAATCACATTTGAGTCATTTTTAAGTTTACTTCTTCATGCTTGGAATTCACTTCATTACTTGGACATGCCTTGTTTTCAGAAAGTAATAACACAAATAAATACATTATAAAGTGTACAGTCAAGTAAACACTGTCTATATTGCATGGGCAAAAACTGAATCACTCTGCATTAATATTATTATATTATATTGCATTATTATAACATATCATTATACATTTTATGGAGAAATAAAGCTGAAAAACAAAAATTGACATTGATATCTGTATAAAGCTGCAGAAGTTGTTCCCCAGGAATCAGTTTTTAGTCTCTTTCAATATTGTTTGGAAGTGGAATGACATACAGTGTGTCTTTTGACCTAATAATTACACATTTACACTTGAGTGATTGAGGATGGACAGCAAATACATTGAGACACTATATAAATGTTGAGGATATATTTAGCTGAACATCTCTAAAAAAAATTTCCTCCACGCACGGCCTTTAGCTAAAACAATCTGTTTGTGGTGGATGCAGAAGATGCCCCAGCCTCACACTTGAAAGCCATCAGGGTCATAATTTCACAGAATGTTCCATCACTTAACTGTACAACAGAATTGTTTCTCTTTTAAAGAGTTGCGTTATTACAGGAATGATCAAGAACACTGCTCACTGAGAATTTTTTTTTAATGCTGTTCACTTTTAAACAATTCCTTTTGAGTTAACCCTATTATATCAGGTTTCCCATTCAAACACGACTGCATCATGTTGAACAGACTTGAAACTATTTTTTTTCTTTTAAATAATGTTTTTGGAGAAAATATGTTTGTATACGAGTACAGGGCTATAGGTTATTATAACAAATTAAAAGCTAATCAAAGTGTGTTTGCAATCAGTTTATTTTAGCTATATTTAAATAAACAAATTGTATTTGTTTATCGTATATTGTCAAATTTAATTTTTTTAATTTAAATGTAGCTAAAATAAATGGTTTGCAACCACTTACCTTAAAAAAGCAATAACTTTTACTTATGGCAAAATATATATTTTTAGTGTGTTTACTAAAAAGATTCAAAAACCGCGCCCTTTATCTAGTCAGTCCCGTGACGTCAGCCCGTCCAATCACAGCTGAGCTGAGCTCACTCAAAACAGTGTTTTTTAACGTTACAGGCTTCTTATTAAATTAATTAGATATAGCCTAGTCACAAAATACTGCTGTAATTCAGCAAGCAGAGCATACAAAACAGGTTCCTCTGCTTTGAAAGTTGAGTGACTGATCGTC